GTTGTGACCGCTGCAGCATGCTCTGGGGCCAGGCCTATGGCAGTGGAGGCAGGACAGCCCCCAGGACCACAGAGCCCCCGTAGTGGAGGGAGCCACTACTTGGGCGGCTCAGCTCATTCCTGCTGACTTGCTGCTGTACAGGGAAGAGGGGTGCCCGAGACAAAGAGGAGACACACTTCTCCCACGAGAAATAAAGCAAGCAGTTGTTCCTCTCCTGGGCCCAGCAGGGGTCAGAGGCTATGGGACCTTCACTCCTTCCCTCTTAGTGGAGAGGGTGGATCTGCTTTTTGGGGCATGAGGGCCCCGTTTCCTGACAAGCTGGAAAAGCAGGATTTAAGAGCTAGTATCAACAGGGAGAATGTGAGGCCCAGCATCAGGTTCAAGAAGCAAGGGGATCAAGGTTGCAGGGGAGGCGGGGAGCCTTAGCCTGACGCAGCCCAGACCAACAGACTGAGGAGTCCAGAGAGCCCACATGCTCGCTCGGCCATCGCTAAGATGTGTAGTGTGTGAGAAGGTGTGAGAGGCACTCGCTTTTCTCTCCAGCCCCTTCCAACATATTATTGGGTCATGGGTGCCATGTTTTTAGACACATAAAAGAAATGGGTATTTTCAGAGAAGCGCAACCCTGGAGGTGCAGGGGAGTGAACTCAGCCATGAGAAATCATTCAAAGGATTGACCTCTGAACAGGGATAGACTTGCTCTCAATGGCTCCAAGCGGGGAAGCAGCAGAGAGGGGAACCTTTCCTGAAAGTCCAGTGTGGCCTCTGAAGACACACACACACACACACACACACACACACACACACACACACACACACTTTTTTGAGAGAGAACGAGAATGAAAAGATACACACTGAACTTTTAACAGTCGCTGTCTCTACCTGGTGACTGCGAATGATTTTAATTTTTTTCCTCTTGTGCTTACAATATTTTCTAAAATCTCTAAAATATACCCAAGTTACTTTCTTGTTATAGCAAAATAGGCATAAAATGTCTATGTCTATTTTAACCATTTTTAAGTGAGAGTTCCATAGTATGAAGTACATTCTCACTGTTGTGCAGCCATCACCACCACCTATCTCCAGAACTTTTTCATCACCCTCAACATAAACTCTGCATCCACTAAGCAGTATCTCCCTGTTCCTCCTCCTTCCAGCCACTGGCAACCATCCTTCTACTTTCTGTCTCTATGAATTGCACTATTCTAGGTACCTCATATAAGTGGGATCATCTGGTATTTGTCCTTCTGTGTCTGGCTTATTTCACTTAGCATAATGTTTTTAAGGTTCATCTATGTTATAACATGTAACAGAATTTCATTCCTTTTTAAATCTGAATTATGTTCCATTGTATGTATCCTCCATATTTTGTTTATCCACCCCTCTTGTCATGGACATCTGGGTTGTTTCCACCTTTTGGCCATTGTGAATAATACTGCTACAAACACTGGTGTACAAATATCACTTCGAGTCCCTGCTTTCAATTCTTTTGGGTATATTCCTAGAAGTGGAACTGCTGGATCATACGATAACTAAGTTTTTGAGGAACCACCACCCTGTTTTCAACAGAGGCTGCATGATTTTATGTTCCCACCGGCCATGCACAAAGGTACTATTTCTTCACCTCCTTGCCAACACTTATTTTCAGGTCATCGTTGTTTTAAAATAGCCATCCTAAAAGATATGAAGTGGTGTCTTACTTATGGTTCTCATTTGCATTTCCCTAATCTAAATTACGTTTTAAAATCCATCTGAATCACGCCCTTGGTTCTTTCTCAATAAAATGGATCTTGCCCCCTTTTTTCTCTTCTTTATACCTATTCTCTACATTTTAAAAAATTATGGCAAAATACATATAACTTAAAACTTCACCATCTTAACCATTTTCAAGTGTAGAGTTCAGTATTAAGTATATTCACATTGTTGTGTCCTAACGCAAATATAGTGTATAATGACAAAAAGAAACAAAAGGCTATCTAAAGAAAAAAAAGCCGTGAATTCTTGGACCCTGGAGATGTTCACAGACAGACTGGATCAATCTCAGCAGGGATTTTCATTCATCTTCTGAGCACCTCTGCTGGGCTGGGCTCTGTGCCAGGCAGGGGGCTCCAAGGTGCGTGTGGCCTGGACTCTGCCCTCAGGGTTCAGCCTCTGTGGGGAGCAGTTACACCCAAGGGCTGCTATGGGCACAGAGAGGCACCCTGTTGTGTGGGTGTGGCATTGGGAAGGGGCATAAGTGAGGTGGCACGTGAGTTCAGGTGGGAAGGACGAGCAGACATGTACATGTGCAGAGAAGGGAACTGGCATGTGTAGCTGGGCTGTGGCAGCACACCTCACAACCGCCATTACAGGAGCATCTATTAATCATTTATGTCTGTCTCCCTATTTGATTATAAGCTGTATGAGACCAGAGCTGGTGGTTTTGTTCACTACTGCATTGCTGCCATGCCCAGCACAGGCAAGTGTAAAAGAAACACTTGCTGAATAAATGAGTGGTTGATGATGAGGAAAAAGGAGACATTTCTTTCCAGAATCTTGGCTGTGAGAAGCAGACAGCATGGCTGTACTCCACGGGGAAGGCAGGATAGCAGGAAGCATTACACAGGTGATGGAGACAAGAGCATGGCAGGAGCCATTGAAGAAGAAGAGCTGGAAGATTCCCTGGTTGAGAGAATGGAAAGGCGTAATTGCTGGGGAGAGGCCCCTGAAGAAAGGGGAAAGGCTGGGATGCAGGCTCAGTGGAAGGAGAGGAGTCTGTTTATGAGACTCAGATGGCCAATGTGAAAAAGACAGACGATACCAACTGCTGTATGAATGGGAAGTACACTGCATGGGGAACTCTCCTACACTGGAGGCATGTTCTTCCTGTTATTCCAGATTCAGACAGCACTCTGGTCGCTGGTTGGTACAGGCCACCATTTGAGCCAATTAGGGGAATCCTAATATCTGCGCTTGGACTATCAGAAATGAGTGCTCTATGCCCAGAGCAATTTCCAAGATGGGCCTGAATCCATGAGTCATGGCACTACACGGAGCCCAGGGTTGGCTCTGAGCCTAACAGCCTCCAAAATGTCAACTTTGCTCATGTGCCACCTTGTCCTTCATCTCATGGCATGCAGCTGGCAGGACTTCAGTTGACAGAAGGTAGACCCTGCTCTTTTCAAAAAGCACACAGGACAGGTGTTGATAGGCCAGCCCCTCCCACTGAGCTCTGGTTACTGCGGTGAAGTCCACCAGGAGGTTCAGCGCCCACTGTGGCTCTGCCTGAGGGGCCTCTGTGCACACTCAGTCCAGGCACTAGCATCCCAGCCCCCGGCCAGTGGTCCAACTCCAGACTCACTGCACAGAGCCCCTTGCAACTGATGTGTGCCAACATGGAGCCCACACGGGGCAGCTCAGCGTGACACCTGCACAGCTCAAGACTGAGGGAAGGACATGCTGACTCCATGTGTGGTCTGTTTTTTTATTGCATCTTCCTTCTCAAGTTGGAAGAGGCTGTACTGAATTACCAAATGGCATTATACTTGCTGTGGGGGAGCACAGAGGAGTGTCTGGCAGTCCCTGGGATGATGTTACAGTCCAGAGGTGGGGATGAGATCAGCCCAGACGATGCAATGGGGATGCAATCAAGACACAATGTCATTAGAAGCCACAGTATGTTCTTTCATGCCATGTGTTTCCCAGCTCAGAGGAGTGAGGGGTCAAGGAGGGGTGGGGTGGCCTCCTGGGACCCTGCTCTAGGATGCATGTGTAAGGACCCACATACAAACCCACAGAATTCAAGAGCTAGCCAGGCCTGGACCCATGTAGGAGAGCCCCACTGGCTGATTTCCTATCTGGGACAAAGGCCACAGACAGCAGGCCTCCCTTGGCCACACCCAGGTCCCCAGGACACATGCTCCACTATCCCTAGTCTAATCACAACCCCATATGAACTGTGTCCCATTCATGTTGGCCTAGAAACTGGGAAGTACCTGGCATGGGGTCCTCTGCTTCCTCCCCATGACTGCCTGGAGCTCTGGGGAGACCACCAAGAGGCCATTTTTGTGGCTAGGAAATGTCTGTGGCAGCTGTGGACACCACAGGCCCTCCCTGGACCCTTCTGAAGCAGAGGTCACATTCCTAAAGATTCTTAACTGCCAGCTCCAATCTCTTGCTTCTTCCTGATAGTCTCATCTTAGTAAGGAGTGAAGATAATCTTTTCCCAGTTCCATGAGGTCCTCTCAGATCCAAAATGCTCTAAGTTCAAGGGCAAAGCATGAAGAAAGGGAGCCACAGATACTAATTTGTGGTTTTAGTTCAGTGGTTTTCCACCCTGGCTACAGAGTAGAGTTACCTAAGGAGCTTTTAAAAAATACTCATGTCCAAATATTCCAACAAGCACTTTGCAAAGAGAAGATCTAAACGGCTAACAAACATATGAAAAGTTGCTCAGCTGTATTAGTCATCAGGGAAATGCAAATTCAAACCACATTGTGATATCACTACATACCTGCCAGAATGGCTAACATGAAAAAGATAGAAAATATCAATGGCTGGCAAAAATGTGAAGCAACCAGAACTCTCATACATTGCTGGAGGGAATGTAAATGGGTACAGCCACCTGGGAACATTATTTGGCACAGGTACTAAAGCTGAACATACTCATATCCATGCTTGCCCAGCAATGGATATAAATGTGCTCCAAAAATACACACTAGCATGTCATTGCAATAGTCATAATAGTTCTGAACTGTAAATAACAACTCGAATATCCAAAAATCCATCACAGTAGAATGGATAGAGAAATTGAGGAATATCCATAGAGTGGAATACCCTATAGCAAGAAGAGTGAATAAACTGCAGCTCTAAGTAACAACTTGGACGAATCGTTTCACGAACATAACAAGAGGATATATACTGCATGATTCCATTTACATCATATAAAGTTTGAAAACAGGAAATGATTCCATACCATTAGAAGCCAGAATGGACGTTAGCCTTTGGAGCCAAGTAGTAAGCAGTTTCATGATTTGGATGCTGGTTACTCGGGGTCAATTCATTTGTGAAAATTCACTGAGCTTTACACTTATGGTTTGTGCTTTTTTCTTTTTTTTTCTTTTTTTGCATATATGTCATCCTTTAACAAACACTTAAAAAATTTTTGAAACCCACATCAATCCAGTCAGATTCTTTTGGGTGGGAGCAAGATCCAGGCATCAATATTTTTTAATATCCCAGATGACAGTAATGTACAGCCAGGATTGAAAGTCACTGGTTTAATATCTTGGGAAAAGTAGATCCACTCAAGACCTCAAAGAGTCCTGACAAAGGCCACTTCCAGCTCAGTAGAGTGAGACAGTGGGGTGGGAAGATGTCCATTTTTTTGGATGTGGGCTGGTGTCTTGCACGGGCAGAGGTATTGCAGCATGCTGTTGTAATGTGTATCTTCCTTGGCAGTGTCTGTTGAAAGCTGGTTGCATCAGTTTGTAACGGGGTGTAATGGCAACAAGGTGGGCCCAACCCCACCCCAGGAAGTGGATCACTGAGCGCAGCTTCTACAGGGTCATTTGTAGAGAGGTGGCAGCTGGGCTTCCCAGGGGCTGCCACCCAGGGCAGAGCCAGTGCTGAGGCTCGGACAACCCGAGTAGGGTGGGGAGAAGGCCTGACTCAGGGTGTTTATGTTTGTGGGTAATGACAGTCAGTTCTGGGCTCCAGATGATGCTTACTCCCTGGCCTCTGTGTTCAGATTAGGAACTTGCAACATCTTGCTGAGGACCACGTCAGGCTCAGCTCTAAGTGCTGTGGCTGAGAATTTTCCTTCCTTTTTGTGTGGTTAGTGGCAGCCTCCCTAGCAATGGCTGACCTCTAGCATACTCTGGTCAAACTACAGGCAGCTGGGACAAGACAGGACATGGGGCTCACAGACAGGTATTCCACCCACCTGGGCCCTCTCAACTCTCCCAGAAATGCATGGGCATGAACCTCCTGCTGCGGGAGGGGCAGTGCAGAGAGGTCTCAACAAGCTTCCCTTGGCCCTCTGGGATCTCCACCATCCACAGTGTGTGGGGCTGAGCTGCAGGCTAGGTCCTCAGGTGGTGTCCCTGCACATCTGCTTTGCAGCGTGGCGTCTATGGAGCAAGAGTGAACAGGAAGGGGCCTGGGGCCTCCTGTAGCTCTGCTGGGCAGGGACGCTGCGGGGCCTCAGCTGGGCTTGCTTGGCTAAAGGGTACAGAATGGCGTAGGCTGCAAGAGGACAAGCTAAGCTGATGAAGGCTCTATCACTCAAGGGTAGCCATGTAAAAAAAAAAATCCCTACAGGAAAAGAAGCATGAATAAGACAGGCGGGGCTTAACGGTGTCTCCCCACTGAAGCTACAACTCTCCACTTCACTGGCTTCAGCCTCCTCTCTGGGAAATGGGGGCAATGTCCCATAGGCCTTTTCCTCCTGTCCAGTAGGGCTGAAGGTCCACAGGCCAGAGGGAGGCCTGGGTCCTGAGGAGTCTACCTGTTCGGCCCCTGGCTGGGACCTCAGCCCCCATGTGCCACGTCACCTCCCTTGTCTGT